GTTCAACAGCAATGATATCCTTCAGTAGGGACGGGCGCCAAAGAGGAGCACAGTAGGTAAAAATAGGAAGAATAAGAGATAAGTACAACTTTTTTTTAGCAGCAGTAGGGGTGGAGGCAGATGGAAAAGCACGTTTAATTCTCTCTCTAACTAGTCTCTCCGAGGACAACACCACACTAAGAAAGTCCATTGAGATAAGCATGAAACCATTATCCTCTGGAACAACTCTCTGACTCACTAGGAGCAACTAAACACCTTCAGCCAATCAGAAGTTCACTTATCTTGTGTCGACAATAGGAAATCCAGGTTCAGGAGTATAAAAAATTCTCATGATGACTCCACGTGGTTTTAAGGCAGGGCTAACCACACCTACACCAAGCCCTTGAGATTCATCTAATAAAAATTACAGAAACTTATTAATATTTTGCAAAACAATTTCAAAATAATATTATGCTTGTAAACTACCCGAAAATAATAATAAAATTTAATTCCAACTGATTTTATTAGGGAGTCATTCTTAGAAAAACAATCTTTTGGAGACTGAGTAAAACCTTGTTTCCTTTTTAATTGTATATCTACAAAAATAAAAATAAATTATGCATGAAAGTATTTCAATGATGAACAAGATCATCTATAACCAACCTCAGTATCAGATGATCCGCTTTCAAACCTATACTTCCTCAATATACTCACTAATCATGCTTTAGTAGTTGATACAGTATTCATTGCTGGGTTTGCTGCCTGACCAAAAAGTTTGAGGCATCTTTCAATTTCATTCTTTGAACATGATGACGTGACACAGCACATATTTCTGTGTAGAAATAAAAACAGTTCAATGAATGAATAAATGAAAGAGACAAAGACAAAACTCTTAAATGGTCACAATAAAACACAATGCAACTTTGTGGTTACTTTAATCTGCAAAAAATTCATGGTAAAGAGTTGGGTAGTGTACATTCATTATTGAAAAACACAAAATACAGTTTATTGGTTGAAATGGCCAAATATTAGGCAGAGTCACTTTTTACTAGTAATGTACTGTAATGTAGATCCACATAATCATATAATGTATGCATACAAGTATGCTTATACACACACCTATACTCAAATGCATATACAGTAAATGTAGTTTTATAGTTTATAGAAAAATGGTTGCTATACATGCAAAAAGACAATTTCTATGCTAACACACTATAAATTTGGTGGAGGAATGATTGGTGAAATGAGCTTCATTTGGTAGACATACTTGCACTTGTTGTAGCATGCCACTGACAATGACAGTGACCATTTGTTAACACTTATATATATGCAAGACATGATTAACAATTAACAGCATAATTTGTAGTGCCCTGTACTGTTGGCATCATTCCTTATAAACTACAACACAGGACACTAGGACACATCATTCTATATGATTTTGCTGGTCATTCTGAATACTACTCCAGTCACAGTGCTGCCATTGAGAATCTGTTACGAGGTTCCGGTGATGTGTTCCTGATAGTAGTCAATATATTGAAAAAGGAACCAGTCAAACAGCTTTATCAGTGGCTAATAGTTGTCAGAAATGAAGCACAGAAGCTCTTAATCAATGCCATGTTATTGTGATAGTCAGTCATGTGGATGAGATAAGTAATCCTGTTGAAAGGAGAAGGATAAAGGAAGAAATACAGGAGATTATTGTAAGGGAAAGATGTGATAGTGTCTTCTTAGATTGTCGTAAGCTTGGTGGAAGTGGTATGAATTCCTGTTGTCTAGTGACTGTGAGTCCATTCGTAGTACAAGTGGAAAGAATTTGAGTTATTATTGTCACATGATGTATGGTCTACTGGAGGAAAGGAAAGTGAATATACTGATCCTCTCTGATTTAATGTCTGCTGGTAAGGACAATAATGATTACTTTATACCAGATAAGAGAGAAGGCGTCTTGGATGTTCTTGATTTGTTGCACTCAACTGGTTTGATCAGTGTTCTTAAAAGCGAAAACAAGGTATGGGTTGTTGTGAATAAGGGTATACTACTAACTGAGGTGAATGGGATTCTCTTTGCTCCAGAGACATTCAAAGAACACGTTGACATTGCTAGTAATACTGGTATTGTTAGTGTGTCTGGTCTGACTAGACACTTCCCTAAATATGCATGATCCTGACATGTTGATTGGTTTTCTGAAGAACATGGAACTCTGTGAAAAAATTAGTCCATCTTTCCTAAGAATGATAAACCTCCATCAGTTAGCAGTAGAAGAGGAGGAGGAGGGAGGGACAGAAAGAAGAGGAGAAAGGTTGTTGTTCTTTCCATGTCTTTTTGTCTACTGATAGACCTGATGAAATGACTAGTCAAGTGTACTAGTTTGGTTGGTGTCTACAGTGTACTAGTAAACATCATTTCTTTCCTCCTCAATACTTCCATGTCCTAGCTCTCATTACGTCTTGCTTACAAATGACAAAATGGCTCTACCTCAAGAAGATGACAAGTTAAATCGTTACTGTACATTTATTTTGGAAGAATGGATTTTATTGGTCTAATGGTCATGGTGTAGGATCACTGGTAGAGATTGTTGATGAGAGCCAGTGTGTACTAGTAATGATGTCCTTTAAAGAACACATTATGATGTCAGTAGGAAGAGATGTGATAGGAGAGGTAATGAGTGTTTATAAAAAATCCTGTCCCAGTCTAGAGGTAAAAGAGTTAGTTATTGATCCTAAAGAACTAGCCTATCCTGTAAATACACCAAGAGAAAGGACAGTGTATAGTGTAAAAGCTGCACTCTCAGCAGTAGTTGAACAATGACCATTTCTTGTTACCACTGGTTCCATAAATACAGAATTGAAGGAGATCTTAAGTTGTGAAATATTATCAGATATTAGTAACCTGTCACTATTAGGAGGACATGATATTAAGGTAAGATTAACATACACAAACTGTTTGATACATTAATACAAGCACTAATAATCAAAAGGTCATATCTTAGAAAAGTAATTCTATTTCTTATCAATTACTCAGTCTTTGTCATAATTGTGGGTTGTCATTGTGTGGCTTATAGTACTAACAATTATACTTGTACATCTGTTAAACTCACCTTTCAGCAATACACTATATAGTGACAAAGATTATATACAGGAACTGATTGAAATAAAGTCTAAAGTATTCAACAAAGACACTACAATAAAGCTAGGTATGTTACACTATGTACTATCAATTGTCAGTGAGAGTGCAGACTGTGTCAGTGTACATGTACGTGTTACTAATCATTATTTTATAGATATTAAAGATTTTGATATTGTCAATAGAGAGCTAACAATACTCAATCAATTGGATTGTACAAAATGTTATCAGTTTGGACTTCATTTAGGATTATATAATCCAACACTAAATGCTATTAAGAAGGATCATGGAGAATGTAAGCCATGTCTGATACAGTGTATGTCTGCCTGGTTAAGAGGAGAAGATAAAGTGAGAGAGAAAGGAGGTCCCAGTTGGTCATCATTAGCTACAGCACTGGATACAATAGAAGAGAAATCTATTGCTAGTTACATTAGAGATAAATAATGTAAATAAATAATTAGTTAGGGATGATTGTCTATAGTATTTCATTTTGTTCTGTTCATTATTATTTTTGCTGATGCTTGTAGATTTATTAATTAGTTGAGTTGTAAAAGCTGAGCTGTCATCAGATACTAATTTCCCTATCTCTATAATTAGAATTATCTTTATTATTAGTAACATTGTTATTTAAATAGTTATTGTTAGTTTCAAACTATGTTTAGTATTAATGTTGTTATTGGCATAAAGTTACTATGAACTATGAATTATGGCACTCAGGCTACACTAGTTGATATCCCATATAGTGGGAATAGTTAGTGGATCTTAATATTAGTGATTAATGATTGCAGTGTATTGGTGGATTTTATATTGGCAAATTTGTAGCCAAGTGCCATTGAGCATGTGAAGAATAAAGCAAAATGGCATATTTTGTATTAGTGCATGAATGCTAACTACTGCAGCTGCTAATCTGCCTATTAATTTCTTGCCATATTCGTAAATACTGCTATTACATGTGTGCTTAGATTCAGTTCAAAAACTATGAAAAGGACATTAATCTCTATAAATTGAGAAATTATTTTACAGGCAAAAAGATTCTCTCCCTCTCTCTCAGTTATGGTATGTGTGTTTAGTGTATTGAATCTCTGATGTGTGGGCGGGTATCAATGAATCTATTCAATCTAATTAACTGATCACAAGATGTCGCTAGAGGACAAGTGTTGGGATGCATTTAGGAGTGAAGATCATGAAGAAGCTGTTCGCTTACTACCATTAGTGAAGGAACAGAGTAAAATTAGAAGAACACATACTTTATTATGGCATAATACTAGTTTACTTCATTTGTC